CTATCCAGAATCACGTTCAGACCTAGGCGAAGAAGCTGTCTGTGGGGATGTAAGGGACCGATGTCTGTTCTAGTTCGATGAAGTGGCTTCAACGTCAGGAAAATGTTCCCCCATCGGAGCCGACCACGGGGCGTAGAAGGAAAAGACACCGCTTTAAAAACTGACACAGTCTATTAGAAACTGAACTGCTCACGACAAGGAGTATGTCCTATGTCAAAGCGGTTTATGCCTAAAGTATTCCGAAGACTTTTTTCCAGCATGTTCAGCATCATTAATCTGGGATAAACTGTGCTTTTGAGCCGACGTTCTTCAGATAACGATGACGGACAAAAAACAATGTCATTTTCGATGACCGCTTATCCTTGTGGGTTGCGGAGACAGACGCGTCAGACAGGGTCTCCAACGTTCTCATTCCTGTGCCAGTATTTGAGCTTTGGCGAAGGATAGCCGAGTCTGGAGCAGAGTGCTTTGAAATTGTTGCCTCAAGTTACTCTTGCCCTTTCCCTGGGGTCTTCAGCTTGTCACTCGAGGAAGTAGTAGCTGTTTCAGCTTGGTTAATTTTGTGAAGCAGATTGTTGCAGTTCGGGACCATCCGTCTAATTTTTGCTGCGGTGCGGCATCTTATCAGGCCTACCATCTGGCGACCGTTAGAAGTTTTCTAAAATCAGCAGACTGTTTTATGTAACTTACTTTTTTTAATTAGGGCTATTTTGTCTGGAATCAACGCCTAACGCAAATCTTTGATCTTAAACACGTAACAACACGTAAAATTATCACAAAGTGATGTTTTCCTGTTATAACTGTCAATATGTGGTTCAGACGATTTTCTTCTGTCGTGCTTCCAGTTTGTCGACTGCATCTTCGCCGGTTGCTAGTTGTTCACATCCTCCTTTGGTCATGGCATATAAATTTTTGAGCATTTAAAGTTGTTCGCCTCTCTGCGAAATGCTTCATATATTGTTTTATTGCGGTCCTTCATTTTTCGAGACTCGGCTTTCTCCAACTCTCACCCATCAGATGGTTCACTGAAGAATTTCGAAGGTTTCAGCCTATTTCAGCTTACCTACGTTTTTATCTATCTACGCAGTCGAATCCAGTACACTTCTAAGTTGTTTCCGTGATGAAGGCATGATATGCCACACACTGCTGTAACGGAAAGTGTCTGGCTTTTTTTACTTCATTTGTTTTTTTTTGTTACAGTCATTATCTAAGTCCTAAAGTGCTTAGACGGAAAAGTTACCAGATTAACTTTGTTTGACCTGGTTGAAACGGTATCAGCAGGAGGTGCGGGATTTTGACTCTGCGAAAACAAGCACAATTTTCAGCGTCTATTATGTGCATTTATGATCTGAATCCCATTTGTTTTCCAAGACGTTTTGTTTAAATCAGAGTAGACCTCAAGTTACTGAGCTGTTCGCGTTTGCTGCTTGTGACTGATTTAATATTTTCGGGCGCAACTGCACTGGCATTCGCCAAGCCGGTGGTGGCCGCGATGAACGGTTACGCAGTTGGTGGTGGTTTGGAGTTAGCATTGCTGTGTGACCTGCGAGTGGTGGAAAACCGAGCGACTCTGGGAATGTTAAACCGGCGATTTGGTATGTGCGTGTTGTTTGGCCATCCTCAAATGAACTGTCGATGTTTTTAAGACATCCCGCTGATCGACGGTGGCACTGTGCGTTTGCCGCGGCTCATCGGCCTGTCGCGGGCGCTGGATCTCATCATTACCGGCCGCAAGATCGACGGCGAAACCGCGTTTAATTGGGGAATCGCCAACAGACTAGTCGATACTGGAACCGGTAAGTGTTGAGGTGAGGTTTCGAAAGTTCGAAATCATTTACAAAACAACCCTTTTGATGTTGATTCATCATCAGAGGTCGCAGGCACAAAAAGGCGGGTAAAGTGGAGACGCGCGTTTCAGACCGATGTAAAGTGACGGCGATTGAAATAGGCAATGACCTTTAATACATTATGCAGACATTAGAAGTAGGACATGGCGATCATACGTCGATAGTCATACTTAAATGCAATATAAAAATGATTTGCTTTACGCACCGAAAAAGAATCAGTCGGTCCAGTGATCGAATGCACCTGACGTTTCGCTTTTATCTCACGAATCTTCTTTAATCTAAGTCTGATGGCCTTTCTGTGGCGAGGACGTCATTTGTGGCAGTTGGTTTGCGTCGAGACGTTAGGTGAGCTCTCGATGCGTACTACTGTTTTAATAGCTGCTGACGACAGGCACGACCAGGCATGTCCAATCCGTACAGAGCTCATATCCTTTGTTGTTGTTGAAACTTTTGCTGGACCTGATCATTTTTGTCTCAGTGATATGCTGAACCGGTTTCTTTTGCCGATGATGCACCTCTTCAATGACGCTGCCTTTCTTGTAGATGCTTCACTGTTCTAGTACTGTTTTTATTTTGGAGCTTCATTTGATAGGGGCAGAGCCTCGTCGCTGCTGATGCTTCGTTGCGACGTGCCACTCATGTTCGTCAGTGATCATTTATGTATCCCAGCTTGACAGAACGGTGTTTGTTCACAACGTTCCTATGTTTCTCCTATGCAGTACATTCGTCAGCTACATGGTAATTTGTAAACCAAACTTACCGAGTCGTTATTCTCGGAAGTACGGAATAGAGCATTCTGTTTGTTACAATATTTATAAATGTTACATAGTTAGGTCCGAATCCCTCTCCATCAATATATCATTATTGTCCGTCGGTCTTTAGTATTCATACACTCTTCTCAATGCCTTTTCAGGGCATTGTTCAGCGCCACCACCCGGACCCAAAATTTTTCAACCTTACAGAATTGCTTACATTCAGCTGTTACCACCGTACTATACTTTTACTGTCAACCTTAAATGTATAAGCATACTTTTCCTTTCGTAGACCTGTTGTCTCTACGATTAATTACTTGGCCTCAGAATTAATTTCGAAAATACTCGAAATTCTAACAGGAAGATACTCACTGTACACGAAAGTACTCATGAATTATGCAAGGAGATGAAACAGAATAAATCTTTTGAAGTGAGGTAAACATTATTGTCACTTGTAGTGTCGAGTACCTGTTCATTAATATTTCCGTTGAGGCTACTGTTAAATTTATCATTGCATGCTTGAGAGGTTGAAAGAAATAATCTGCCGGGCTATTCTTTCATAAAATTAACTTTTTATGAAGTAGAAGCAGCGAACTTATATTACTTCAGTTAAGGATTTTTAAATAAAGTATGCTTTCTTCATTTTTCCAGAAATTTTTGTGTGAACGCTTTGACAATTTGACTGTACCGTGTTTAATGTCATCTGCTCCTGTCCTACTGAACATAAAACAAGATCGACGTTTTCAATTACTTTGCACAAAATACTGACCTAACACTGTTGAAAAAAATAATTCTTGTTCCATTTCTGAATGCTTGTATAATCAGTTGTAATAGTTATTATAAAAGTAGTTTATCGTAAGGTCTATTAAAAAGCAGAAGAAAATGGAAAGAAATCGATGTTTCAGCTTATGCTGGTTATTACACCGGATTGGCAGTTATCAGGGTCGTCAGAGCGAAGTGCAGCCACAGGTAACGCTCTCATTGGAAAGCACATGTACCTCGTCGATAATGAAACACGGCAGAAGCCCTTATTTAACAAGCCTCCATTAAGTGCTTTCTTTTAATAACCAGGTTGCAAGGTCGCTAAAGCGTTAGATTCATAACCGACTGATTTTGGATTTGAGCCCTACAACGATCAGGTCATTCTCCTTTCACCATCTTGAGGTAAGCAAATCAGTATCATCTCGTTGGAAGGCAACAAGAGATTACGCGCTACAGGAATCACTTAACGGTAAGTATAGCCGTGAACAAACGAAAATGTGGCTGATGGTACAGAAACAGAAATTGGCATCGCGCCATAAACTTCATGAAAAAATGGTGTTGTCTCATCTGCCAAGGTATACTGGCAAATCTGCGGTTGAAGACTTTCGTTGACTTTCTCTTCTCTGAAATTGTCGCTTTAGCTGGATGGAGTTAAATTACATCAGTAAATCGTGCCTTTAAACAAATATTTCTTAGCGTGGTTTCACTGGAAGCTAAAGTATTAGATCAGAATTTAGATGTAACATTGGTCCATATTTTAGCGCTTGGCCAGGCCTTGAATCTCGCTAGGGTTATTGCGGACCTGCCAATGGCTTCTATATTGGCCGATCGTCGATCTGCTTATTTCAGCTCGTACGATGCGGGTTCGTTAGACGATGCGCTTGATTTCGAAATGGAATGTGGTCTGAAGTGCCTAAACAATCATTGTTCAATCAGTAAGTTTCTGTAATAGCTTTCTGATTCGGTTGTTTTGTTGTCACTGCTCTTATACAAGACCAAGCAAGGCTTAAACAACAGCGGTGCCTGCATGGAGATGTTGTTTCTCTGCGCGAGCAGGCCTCTGTCTAAGAGATGACTGAATTAATTTGACATTCTCCAACGTATTCAACTTGCAGACAGTTCCCTCTTGCGATCATCTGGTCTTAATGCTCTCTGATTATTAATTTAACTCGCTTTTTTCATTCATGGCGTGAGACAAAAATTACTGTTAATGTGTAACGCAGAGAATTAACACATTCATATTATGGAACGATTTTTCGAATCAGGTCACGTACAGTGCCTTATTTATCGCTTTTCTCTTCTAATGACTCTGTAATAATGTTATTTTTTTCATCCTGACCATTTTAACTCGGTCCTGCCAATGCACCGCACATTTTCTGTCGTTCATCGATCTGTCTTACATTAGCACCGGTATAAATTTATGTCGTTAGTCTATTGAGGGCAGGAATAACAGTTGAAATGTTGCTGGTTCGATATCTAGGTCGCTTGGCAGGGCCACTCTCCTTTCGCTGATCTGGCAAATAAACGAGTACTACTTCATGGGAGGAAATAAAGGATTGTTAGTATATCCAATCAGCTGGCCGTAAGTAATATCCTCAAGAGAGAGGCACACCTAGCTGGTAACATTTGGTAAGCTTTATGACAGAAAAGCGTTACAGACAGCAACCATCATCGAAATGGAAAGGAAACCGGTTGATGACGTTCTGCTCCTCAGCGTAATCATGAAATCCTGATTATGAGTGTCACGTTGTTCGTCCATTATTATCATATCACGTATCCTGATATGCAGTTCACAGAATGAGATCAATATAAAACCGAGGTAAGGTCGAATACCGTCCATCGATTTTCGGTCAGTTTCAGCTCTGCAAGTGAATTCAGATTCCTTGCTTCATAGTTGACCACTTTTTGAGACTCTGAATGGGACGTTTAGGCGCAGACCGTCAGCTATTGGTGGTGCAGTTGTTGCTATGAATCTGTATAACTTGACGGTGGCCATTTGCTTAAGCTATTTGATTTAGAATGATGTTATATATCAATAGGAAACTCACTGAGTACGATAACCGTTGTCATCTTTGTGAATTTCTAATCAAAATTTCATCGCGGTGACAGTGCGAGGTCAATAGATCAGCGCGCAGTCCTGCAGTAGCTAGTTTGAAATTATACCATTGACAAATGATAATTTCTCTCATGTACTTGAATTCAGTCATCATGTTACTTATCAGTTGAAAGTTCCAGGTCATCCTTCTCTGTCCGCCGTGGTCTTCGGCCGGTGAGGTTGAGCAATTAGTAGCTGTTTCGCATTTCATTCTGAAAGCGTACTCAAAACTCTCTAAACCGTCGCAGATGTGACTTTTTATCCGCAGTACTCCAAGGCTTTCTCAGAACTGAATTTTGAACTTTATACTTCGTCGCATGAAACGCATTTCAATCCCTTGCACTCGGGATCGAAGTTTACAGTCATGGCTCATGAGTGATCACCGTAGGTGAGCATCGGGATGAAAATCGACTTGACTACGAACAGCGACTTTTTCAAACTGCGCTCTGCCTTGAGCACAGTGATTCACGTTAGTTCACCCAGAATGCCGCTGGCTATCTCGATTCGCCAGTATGTCAGATTATTAATGTCTGACATTAAAATTTTTTGATATACGAATGCACGATAATCCTGTATATGTACGTTATATATGTATGCATATGGATGGAATCAAGCTTCGCCCAACAGTCCTCTTCAGTCAAGTGGTAAATTCATCGATTCATCCATTTTTATATGTAAAACTCGGCAGTCTCATGTTACACCATTCACAGCTCAAGAAAACGAAATATTTCTTGACCACCTGAAGCTTTCCATTCGTCATTTTTAGATTATCGATGAAATGGCTTTTGGATATGTTCCGTTATTTCCTGACCCTGCAAGTTTTTTAGTTTCAGAAGCTGTAATTTTCCCGGTTGTCAGTCTTAGACATGGTGGAGCGTTTGTCGTTTGCGAAGCTATAGATCCGTAAGTCTTACTTCTTTTGCTGCATGCAGATCAT